ATGAAATATTTGAAAGGAAAATCCAAAAGTTATATCTTCTTCCTAGGGTTTCTTCACTGAGGGGAGAAAAACTCAGATAGAAGTAATCACCTCCTAAAGGATCAGTGTCTGCTACATGTGGGAACATGCTGGTTCAATGTTGGAACAATGCTTCACTTGCTTCTGCTCTTGAAGTCAGTGTGGAAACTGCTATAATTGTTTCAGCCTCTCCCAGATAGCCAGCTTGTTGAAGATAACTGTAGCTCCCATTAGAGAGGGAGCAGAACACTGTGACAGTGACTTTGGTGATGACCACCACCTTCTCCCCACATCTATCAGGTCTTCTTTAGGTCAGGTATGCAAACAGAACCTTTTCTATCTGCCCGAGTGACATCTACTAACTGGCTAGAGGAAGGTGGACCCAAGGAGAAGTGGAATGACACTTACCTGCCTTCATTCTTGAGATCTCTGCCAACCTGGCCCACTCTCACAGAAGGCCTCCAGCTTTTTTGGAAGAGAAAGTTGCAAATGTGGCATTGGGGATGAGGAAGCAAGCCTCAACTGTTAGATGTATGGTGGCATGAACAAATTTTTATTTCATTTTACTCTAAAGAGCTCAAGGTGGTTTCTTCTCCTACTTTCCCCCACAATAATAACCTTCTGTGATAGATTGGGCTGAGAGGGAGTCCCTGAACTCTGTAACTGAGGAAAGACTTAAATCTGGGTCTTCCTGCTCCTAATCCCTCAAGTATAGCTGGAGCCTTTTCAGACCATGCTCTGCTCTGTCTGATCAAATACTTGTCTAAGCTGAATGGGAAGACATTTTGGTAGTGTTCCTGTTTTACCTGTGCAAGCTTGAACAATTTCCATCCCTCTTAGAATTGCTTATCACCCCCAGGAGGTCATGCTTCATAACCTGAGAAGCTGTGACTAACGTTTTTAGTTTAGCAGTGTCTGATTTTGCTCATTTGCTTGGCTATCAGTTTATCATCACAGTTTTTTGCCACTATTTTGTCAGCTATCACTTTCTATAGCAGTTTCAAGTAGAACTGTTTTTATATTGCCTTAGCACACACTTTCTAGCAGTGTTCATGCTGTGCCCTTTGCTCATCCTGATACCTTTCTCAGCATTTCTAGCAGCCACCAAGTGTTGCCTCAGCATTGTTGCAGACCTTTGCTCCCCTTCTTTCTGAATTCAATTACTCTTTAAAGAAAAAAAGAGAACATAAAAATACAGATAAAGCAACTGCTGTTGTAAATCTTGTGACCTTTGCTCCATCATGATTCTGTCCAGTTTAATCCTGTTCATAAAGGTAAAATACTATAGAACACCTCTATTTTCTAGGCTCTTTTTTGTATTGTTGGTTGCTTTACTTCAAAACAGATGATTAAAAGCCTGGAGGCTAAAACATATGAAGAACAGTTGCAGCATATGGGTTTGGCTTGTCTAGAGAAAAGGACTAGGGGTGACATGATAACAGTATTCCAGTATCTGAGGGGCTACCACAGACAAGAGGGAGTCAACTTATTCTCCAAAGCACCTGAGGGCAGGACAAGAAACAGTGGATGGAAACTAATCAAGGAGAGAAGTGACCTGGAATTAAGGAGGAATTTCCTTACAGGGAGAACAATTAACCAGAGGAACAGCTTGTCTTCAGAAATTGTGGGCGCTTCATCACTGGAGGTTTTTTTAAGATGAGACTAGACAGCCACTTATCTGAAATGGTATAGGTTCTCCTGCTTGAGCAGAGGACTGGACTAGAAGACCTCCAAGGTCCCTTCCAGCTCTATTCCTACTCTACTCTACTCTACTCTACTCTACTCTACTCTACTCTACTCTTATTCAAAGATAAATGTGATTTACACAGCTACTGCTTTTCTAGGAGACTACGGGAGTCAGAAGAGTCACAAGTGTGAAATGGGCAATTTTAAATAAATAAATAGGCTTTACTTTGAATGGATTCTTCTGTACATTCAGTTGCTTATATAAATACACCCCCCCCCTCAAAAAAAAAAGCTGGCTTAAATAGTTGCTCAAAGATGATAGCAAATGGGTCCTTTGCAAAGAATAGTTCAGATTTCTCAGCAAGGATTTTGGGAGAATCTCGGGTAGGAGATTCCGTATGTCCCTCTCACTGGCAATAAAATGATGATGGTGATGATGATGATGATGATTGGTTGCACCATCAGCCAGATGTTTGGATGGGTTTGAGTGCTTTTGTCCACTTATTGAGTCTTTCCCAAGAACCTTAGATGGGCAGATATTTGTCCTACGATGTAAACTGTTCCAGGCAAAGCTGTCATTTGCAATTGACTGATAGTGATTTTGTCAGTACTGATGGTGATCAAGTGGTGCTCCAGATGTTTTGGGATTGCACCCAAGGTCCCTATTACCATTAATACTATTTTTTCTTTCTTGTGTCACAGTTGTTTTATCTGCAGATATAATAAATCAACACTGATCTGCTAGCCTCTGTTCTCTTATTATTGTGCCCTTCCCTGGAACTACAAATCAGATGCCTCAGGCAACTATATTATTTTGTTTAATGCATGCTCTGTTGCACTGAACTGGATTCATTCATGTCACACACTTTCTTCTCCTCTCCTGACACATTTTGCAAATGAAAATTGAAATATATTTTGTGAAGCTGTTGTGAATGTGCTGCCATATTTAACATGTTATTTTATTAATGTGTGATTCCAGCATGGATAAAATATCCATAAATAAAGGAGGATTTTCCCCTGCAATTTTTCAAATGGAGATATTCTATCATGAGTCTGAGATCTATATGATTCTTAATGTGAAATGGTTGTGGAAAAATACCAAAATATGTATTGTTTATAAGCTGGACTTAGAATCATCTTCCCTTTTTCATACTAATTTATTTCACCTATAAATATCTGTAAATTCAGACATGAACACTTGAAAACTAGTATTAATACTATATGAAGAAGCAATATAGATCACCAACCGGATGTGTCACTGGTTGGACACTTTAATTACTTTAATTTAATTTGGATAGAATCAATGTTCCTTCAAACCAGCAGATTTTCTATTTAGTGTAACAATTTCTAGGTCTTTCATACTTCTGTGATGTGCTACCTTCCCCATGATGATTGTTCACTGCAGTGGTTCAATTAGTAATACAATTGTTAAGTGAATCTTGCTACTCTATTGACTTTGCTTCAGTGGTGGATTGCTCCTGGTTCTTGTGAACTGGTAGTAAAAGTGGTGGGAGGCTCTGCTGTCATAATGAACAATCTGCGCATGTGCAGAAGTCTGTGCACATGCGAGCAAAGCGAGCGCGTGCGTGCGCTCCTGTTGCGAACTGGTAGTAAAGGTAAGTAGAACCTACTCCTGTTTTGCTTGTCAGAAGGTCATAAAAGGTGATCGCATAACCCCAGGACATTACAAACATCATAAATATGAGTCACTTGCCAAGTATCTGAATGTTGATCATGTGACCATGGGATACTGCAATGGTTATAAGCATGAAAAATGGTCATAAGTCACTTTTTTTCAGTGCCATTGTAACTTTGAACGGTCACTAAATGAACTGTTGCAAGTTGAAGACTACCGGTAGCAATCTATAGGATTAATGAAGAATAGTATATTACTGCCTCTTGAGTGGCACTAGACAGATTCTCTAATTTTTTCATTAACAATTTGGTTATTCATCTCTTCCTCTTTTGACATCAAGCACAGGCATCTGACTCTGTACCTTCTGCTTAAATATACTATAGTATCGTCATCAACTCAACTGCTGGTGATTTCATGAACATGATGACTTGGGACTTTTGTGTTTTAATGTATTCTTCAGCACTATGCTTACTAGTATTTATGGTATGTTTCATGCATTCACATTAACTATCATAAGGTCAGAAGAATTTCAGGAGCTTTTATGTTGACCATGTAGTGTCAGTGTTAGTCTATAGCATGTAGAAAATGCAGCTGCTCATTTTCTAACTATTCAAAACTTGTATAGCAAAATAACACCAATATTGCAGGAGATGCATTAATTGCCAGTTGGTTTCTGAGTTCATCTTAAAGTAGTGGTTATTACTTATAAAGCTCTTTGCTAGCTTTGAACTGTATGATTTTATTCATTTATTAAATTTATCTGCCACCCATCTCACCTTCAAAAGCAACTAGAATCTTTCTGCCTTCTACACCTTGGCTGTTAAGTCATGGGCACAAGGAAGGACAGGACACGTAGTAAACTCCAACACCTTTATTAGCTCCGTAAATCGCAATGGCAATCCTAGCCACGGCAGCTCCTTTTATAGCTAGGAGCTGTCCGCGGCTACAGCCACTGACGGTCCTACGAATTTCCCGCTCGTGTCCCTGATTGGTCCGTTCAAATATGCCATTCAATACTCAACATTGGCCAAGAGAGCAAAATTTCTCTCATTATGTCAGATAAAATTGTTAATGATTTGTTAAGAAAATTTCTATTACAGGAGGGGAAAAGAAAGGAGTGAGACAACTTTTTAATTTTCATATGAAAAGATGAAAAGTAACTCCCTGCCTCCCTCAGTAGTGCAACACTGCAAGCGTCTTAAATGATTCTCTTTCCAGAAATAAACATAAAGATGAAGCTAGGATGCTAAAAGAAATCTTTAAACAAACTACCAGTACTTATTTGAATGTAATATAAAATTTAGCTCCTTCATTGGCTCCTCCCCTTGCTGCCCTTCATTTTGTTCCTGGGCTCTTATTATCTTGGTTTATGATTTTGTATTAGTCCCTGACTCATATGTCTGTTCAAACTCTGCAAAAAGAATAATAGTAAGATATTCCAGCTCCACCACTCACCTCCCTAAGGATTCTATCAATGGACAAGTTTCATTCAGTAATAACCAAAGTTAATAACATTTTCCAAAACCAGAAATTTTAAAAATACTCTGTTTTCTGAGAACACTCCAAGAAAGTTAACAACTTAAGGGACATTGATTGTATGTATCCCACTGGCATTTAACTTATGAGTCATTATATTAATAGGACAGACATTTCCTGGAGCAGCAGAATACTGGTAAACTGCTTTTTTGAAGGAGGTGGTGCCAGCAAATATTTAAGGTATAATTTAGAGATTATTCATCCAGTAGCATAAAATATAGGGCTTTATCTAAGCCTCCTTAGTTTTTATGTGCGTTTTGCTTTTCAACAATAATATCAGATATCAGGGCATAAAAAATTAATAATAAACATGGTATGCTATTCTGGAATGCATTTCTTTTTAAAAGATATATTGTGTCTTGACGTATGTGTCAATTACTTCCTTTCCTTTTAAAACAAAAACAAACAGGTTTCCAAATAATTCCACTGTAATCAGTAAAATCTAAATGAGCTTTTTGTCCACTGATTTAAAACTGCATGAAAGCAATATATGTTCGTGTCTATTTGTTAGTAATCTTACTATTGGTCTCAGTGTTTTCTTTTTAAATAAAATTATCCGATGCATAGTAGAGATATTGTTTAGCCAGATTACATAAAATGCAGAAAGATTTGCTTTACAGATTATTACAATAATAAAATAAGCCTACTTATTATGAACTTTTCAGGATTAGTTGATTTAAGTGATGAAGATCTGTAACATGTCTCTCCTAACCCCTTGTTTGTTCCATGTAATCTACAAATATGTTGGAAATTTATTTCTGCATTTATTAGACTATAAGAATTCTTATATACTTCCTCTGAAAAATATCTCTGCTCATTGAAGTGGCGGGCAACATTTTGGCAGTCAGAAGCTGAACATATTTAGCAAGGTACTCATATAAAAATGTCAACGTAAAGAGCAGGAGCAGAATTTTGAATACTTTTTTCTCTTAAGGGAATGAAAATCTTACCCATCTCCTTCTCCCACACCTGAAAATCAGTAAGAAATATTCACTGAGAAATGCACAAGTATGAGAATGAAAGTTTATTGTACACTAGTTGATTTAAAGAAAGCATTCAATAAAGTCTTGAATTAGGGAATGTTTGACATTAACATGGAGCTAAAGGATGGTTCTGAATGGGATAAGAGCAGTATATGAGGGAAATCAAGCATGTATGAGAATAAATCAAATATATCACAGTTCAACACTGAGGAGGTATAATGTCCCTTAGTTTTTAATGTGCATATGGATGCATGTATAAGGAATGCTTGTAGTAATGTTAGAGGCATCTGACTGAGGATGTGAATAAGGAGGAGAATGAATGAGGATGCAGTTTTGTGTGCAGACAATATCATATTGTTTCTGTGGATTATATTACTAAATGTAAGATAAATTGTATGATAAAATGAGAAGTAGGGATCTTATAAAGCTGTATATCAAGAATCAAGATATTTAATTTGTAAGTGGCAGAAAAACTGGGTGAATGCTTGCAGAATGTTATACATAAATGGAAGAAAAATACAGCAAGCTGATGAATTTGTGCCCCTTGATAGAATGGTTTACTAAAGAGGAGAAAACAACTGAAAATTTTATGAGCTACAAACATTGGTGTAAACATGGTGGGAGGTATGTGGTTTGTTGCAAGGAAGGAATATTTGTTGTCAGAAGCAACAACACTTATGTGTGAGAGTGTGCTTTTCCCTACTCTGATATATAGAAGTGCGAGTTGGGTGTATTAGGAAAGACATGAGAGTAAATTGAATGCAATAGGAACAGAGCCCTTAATATTGGAAGTGTATTTGCAATAAAAGAAGAAGATAGGGTCAAGAATAGATGAGTGTTGAATGAATATGGATGGAAAACAAACATGAATGATTAGTATGGAAGAAGTACATTGAGGAGATTTAGTCATATAGAGATAACTTAAGAGACTGAATCATATCACAAACTTATAAAGGAGCAAGGTCAAGAGAAAGGAAAGATGAGAAAGTTATAGTTGGATGAAGTTGATTCTCAGAAAGAGGTGACGAGAACAAAACAGATTATGTGTGAATATAGATGTGTTTGAAGCAGAGAATGTTTTGCAAGAATGGAAAGATTATGGAGAAGAACAATGCATGTTGTTGCTATAAACTGATTAAACTATCTTCTCTTACCTTCCTTCCCCTGTCCTCATTCCTTCAGTTTATTTGGCTTACTATTTCTGACTCTCTTTCTTTGCTTTCCATAATACTATTTACTCTGAATGGGAATAGCACGATAGGGATAGATATAGTGGATTGGTGGATGGAGTAGATGGGGTGGATGGATGGATAGAATTCTGAAGTGGTACCAAAAGAAGCTCTGGAATTTCTGCTTATCAATTTCTATTTTAATATTCCCATGTTTGTTTATTTTGTAAGAAAAAAAAAGATAATAGCAACTGGAAAATAAAACAGCATGAAGTACTTTCCCCTGATGCACCACTGTTTTTAAAAATGTTATGAGAACATTTATTGATTTATGCATAGACTCTCAATCAAGAATTCAAGTATATGATCCCAGGTCTGCCATCTGAAATGATTAATATGTACTCTGTATCTTTGGACATCTATCACAATTCTTTTAGGCATGTTAGATCAGACATAAATAATCAGAAATATATGTTAATAAAATATGTCAGTCAATATTTATGCTGTTTTGCAGATCGTCTAGGTATGGACTTCCCATCCATGACATTCCACACAAACAATGTGACTGAATTTATCCTCTTTGGCCTCACGCAAAATGAAGAAACCCAGAAAATATGCTTTGTCCTGTTTCTGTCCTTCTATTTAATCATTGTGCTGGGCAACCTTCTTATAGTAATCACTATAATCTTCAGCACCCACTTGACATCTCCCATGTATTACTTCCTCAGTTACTTATCCTTTGTGGACATCTGCTATTCATCAGTCACAGCTCCCAAAATGATTGCAGATTTTCTTCTGGAAAGAAAAACCATCTCATTTATTGGCTGCATAGCTCAGCTCTTTGGAGTCCATTTCCTTGGCTGCACAGAGATCTTCATTCTTACAGTGATGGCGTATGACCGGTACATTGCGATTTGCAAACCACTCCACTATACCACCATCATGACTAGGCGAATCTGTGGGCAGATGGTAGCAGCTTCTTGGGTTGGAGGATTTCTGCACTCCTTGGTGCAAACTCTTCTCACCACCCAGCTTCCTTTTTGTGGCCCCAATGAAATTGACCATTATTTTTGTGATGTCCACCCTCTACTGAAATTGGCCTGTACAGATACCTATATAGTTGGTGTCATAGTAGTTGCGAACAGTGGGATGATTGCTTTAAGCTGCTTCCTCATTTTAGTGGTGTCATATATTGTAATCTTGGCCTCCTTGAGATCTCATTCTTCTGAAGGACGTCGTAAGGCTCTTTCTACTTGTGCTTCCCATGTCACTGTAGTGATTTTATTTTTTGGGCCATGTACCTTTACCTATATACGCCCTTCTAGCAACTTCTCAGAAGATAAGACAGTAGCTTTGTTTTATACGGTTATCACTCCGATGCTGAACCCATTAATCTATACATTAAGAAATTCAGAGATGAAGAATGCCATTAAAAAATTATGGAGCAGAAAAATGTTTTCAACTGAAAAAACAAATATGTAAACAGAGCATGCATAGAAATAGTTAAAACATCTTTTTGTGAAGATTTTATTTTACTTCTGTCAATAAATTATGCTGCTTTTAATATAGTTATTCCATTGACACTTTGCATTTTACTTTGTTATACTTTGTTGTAAATCATTTGATGATTTGATTATAGAACAATATAACACTGGATTGAACTTCACTTGGTAGCAGGGAATAAGTTAACAAATAAATCAAATTTGGTTTGACAAAGCATTCAAGATTTCCCATTGGGATATTATTATTTTATATAGTTTCTCTTTGTTAACTTTATTTAGATATATGCACAGGTTCTAGCAGGTATGTGAAACTGCAAATTGATTTTGACCATACAACATTGGACATCACTTTTTGGAAGCTCAAATCCAGGTCAGAAAATGTTCTAGCTACAAAACCATCACACACTGATACAGAAATGCATAGCAAGGCAATCAAGAGGAATGCTGCACATTCCAACATAAAAATGCAGAGGACTAGACAGTTGCCACTAGCTCAGCAAAAATATCCTGTGATATATTACACTAAAGAGATCACAGTTTTGAATCATCCCCACCCCACAACAAATTATTGTATTTTTCCTTACCATAATAGCAACAGGTCTATGAATCTAAATCCATGCAGGGATTCTCCTACCTTAGTGTAAAAAAAAAAAAAAGGCTGGGAAACTGCATACAATTTCTCTAACTCTCGCATAGATATTCCCATTTACTGAAAAAGATAGCATTTTCTGAGAGGACTAGCTCAAATATATCCAGGAAACATGTCACCCACTACACAAAAGGTAGAGCTGGGTTTGGGACAGAATTTACAACAATTACAAGTTAGGTTGGAATTTGGGTTGTAAGTCATTTTGATTGTTAAGTGGATCACCATGTGACCTGACTTGAGTAATGATGGTTGTTAACTGAATTGTTCACTTAATGGGCAAAAAATGTCAGAAACCAACAACCAAAGTAACATGACTGTGGTCTGATTGTGAATGCTGATTGTAAATGTAAACCAGTTGTCATGTACCTGAAATGTGATCATGTGTTCATTGGGGGAAGCGGTGGTCGTAACTTTGAGGACAGGCCATTGTAGGCTGTCTCATAATTTTGAATTGTTGTTTAGCAACTGGTAGTTAAACAAGGACTACCTGTATCCTTGAAGCCCCATTAATTGCTGAAAAGAGGATTTTCCACAATATAGCTAAACGGGACAGAGTGTTGTAGTTTGCAGATACAAAATCAGTTATACAATATTACCATAATGGTATGTGAGAATGACATTGGAAGACAAGGCAAAGAGACACGACCAAGGGAATGATCAAATAAAAGGCAGCTGAGCCTGCAGCAAGAATGTGGGTGGACCAGAGGGTCAGAAGAGACGTGCCCTAGTTTGGGAGCTGTTAAGGGGATGAGGGTACAGAAGTACTTTCAGACTTACAAGATCCTGTTAATGTAGCTTTTCAACAAAGTCGAATTAGGTCATCTCATTGTGTTTTCTGTCTGGTGTTCCTCATAAGGCTGACATCAGTCTTCCAAGACTCATGCTCACTTTCAAAGAGAGGACTTTTAGGAATGACCTCCAATTCCCAGAGGATTCAACTATCCACCGAGGATCTATAGCAACTGATGAGCAAGGGCCATGTCTACATTGTTTCCTAACCTATGCTGCAGATAACTAGATCTGAGATCCTGGGAGTGATATTAGGCTTTTGAAAATAATTGGATGTTTTGTGCTATTCTTCTGGCTCTCTGCTGTGCAGTAACATCTGTGCTGGAGCTGCCTAATACTGCTTTCCTTCACAAGAACCTTGAGCTAAGGTGGGGTGTGTGTCACTATTAGATTAGCATATGCCTGACATATATTTTCCCTCTTTTATTTATTGGCTTTTATATTGGACTGTTGTTTGGAACTTGGTATGCCATCCAGAGTCATTGATGAGTTGGATGCTTTAGGAAGTTTGGTTACTTAAAGAAATAGTTAATTCTTGTTATTACTAGAGTGGAAGCATGAAATTGAAGTAGATGGGGATGAGGCAGACGGTGCAGCTGTAGGGATTAGATCATTGGACCAGCCAGACCTAAAAAGATTCAAATACACTGATAGCAGACATGCTATCAAATTGCTTTGTAGACATGTTTACATTGCTGCTATGCAAGGGCTTGTATTAACAATACTGATTATATTAAAGAACAGCTAATCCGTGGTGACTAAGAGAACTTGGATAAATCCTCAAGATATTTTAAAATAATGAAAGCTGCCCTGGGGTGGGAACACAATCAAACTTGTAATCAAATTTGTGGGAGGACAGACTGCCTGAGTAGTTTATAGGGACCAGTGCTGCTTCCTTCTCATCCCTGTTTGTTCAGTTTCCATACCAGGATGATCCATCTGCCAATCAATTTGCAACTGCCAATCAAAAAAGCAGTTTGAAAAGATGCAGGCAGGAGGCAAGATGGCTGCCTGGGTGCTGTTATGCCACAGAACTTGTGAGAAAGAGGCTGACTATACAGACTCCAAGCCCAGGAGTCTAAATAAAGAAGCAAATTAAGGCAGCTCTGAAGAAAAGAGGCAATCAGAAAGTAGGCAGCAGCTAAGGAAAATGGGAGAGAGGGGCATTTATTTCCTTTCTTCAGACTAAAGAAAGGAAAAAGTTCATTGAGCTGTTTCCCTCAGATGGTGCAAAGATTGGGAAGAGAAGAAAACACAAGAAGCCCAGCCAGGAACGAACAAGCAGAAAAGGTAAAGAAAAAGTAAAGGCTTTGGCAGAACATAAATAGAAGGCAGAAGCTAAATATAGTACTAAGAGTCCAGAAGTAAAAAAACCACTGGCATATTATTGTCTCTCTCTCCTACTAGTGGCTGTATCATCAAGGAGTGCCCAGTCATGATAATCTGCTTATCTTTGGCCATGACAGTAGGCAACTCTCTGGAAGGCTTCAGTATATCATCCAATGAAGAGGTGATATAACTCCTTGGGGATCAAAGTTTTCTTCTTTTTCTTCTAGAAAGCTTTAAGGACGAGAATATGACTGGGAGACAGACCATTTCCATTTCCAAAATGAACCTCAAGAAATACCCCAAATCATTATTTTTAGACTCGTTTGTGGCCATTTGCAGGATTTTGATTGAGAATCTATTTGGTTCTATGTAAATTCCACTTCTTTCTAAGTTTCAACACACACACTGGGAAGAAATAATTAAAGGAAAAAGAGAAAGGAGAAGAGTTGGATCAATCAATAAAAATCTGTTTGTCACATGACTTGCAACCATCATTTCTACCTGATTGTATCTGCCATGCTGACCCGCAGTTTTTTTCCCCCTGCAAGATTCCTTGGGGGAAAGTTGGGTGCATTTTTCAGAGCAGGGTGAAAGTGACAAAGGTCCTTCAATCACCCAGATTTGTTTTCTTTTACAACACTTTGGCTTACAGGTATGGGTGAATCCTTGAAATTGGCTTGCCTTGATGTACACTGCAAGATTAAAGATTGTGGGAGTAGAATTTTAGATCCTGGAATTATTCCCACTAAATTCCAGTGTTCCTCTTCCTTTTTCTTGTATCCCCTTTAATTACTTTCTTTGTTTCTTATCATGTACATATTTTTGCACATTTCCATGGATGCCTGTAAGGACTGGGTTTTTTTCATTTTGGCCAGAAGATGTGTTAGAACAGAGGTCTTCAAACTTGGCAGAAGACTGCTATAAGACTTCACTTTAAATGGGTGCTAATTAACTACTACAAAATAAATTGGATTGAGTTGTATGGTTAAAAAGAGCTCATAGTTTAGCATTTATTTTCTTTTGAGAAAGATTGAAATTCTTCTGGGAGGTTGTTAACTGGATCGGTGATGTAATGGTAGAACTTATTTAAACATTTCATTTCATAGTTCTTAATAAGGCAAGAGAAATAATCTGTAAAAACAAGTTATTTTGATGGAGAGAGAAAGCTGCTATACCATTGGTTTCATTTGGGCTCTTCTTACACAGTGGGCAGCTGAAGAAAGGATACCCTGTCTTACAGAACTGGAAAAGATGTAGGTAGGCAGAATTACAGAGCGTTCAAAGTCTTATTTATTGAAGAGCTTCATGGAAACTCTTCTGGTTGATAGATAGATCGATATATAGAGAGAGTAAGCAAAAATCTGAGGGCATCTTTGGTAGAGCTGGAAGATCCTGTAGACTAGAGAGGCCTCAACCAATCGGGTAATAATGGAGATTAGCTATAACTGACTATAAGTGCGCAGAAGTGAGTTACTGTATTCCATAAAGATGTAAGTTCTACCTGGTTTCAAAGTTTTGTTTAAGACTTACTCTGTGGCATATATATGCTATTGAGAAATACTCTTGTTCTGCAATTATTTCCGATATGTTTCTGAAATCTAAATTTAAAATAGTCATAATTTATCATGTACAATTTGGTTTTTCTTCCCCAAAGCACTAGGAGCTATTCTATTAATTACCAAATAAATGTGGTAAAATTCCTAGCTGAATGAAAACATTAGGGAGGAGTAGCAGGGGAAGCTAACCAACGGGAAGGGAAAGAGTGAACATAACTACCATACTGGCCTGCACAAATATGAATTACTATTAGGTAACATTTTCTATGTATGTGTCTTTAGTGTCCTGAGCTTGGTTGTTTGCTTGTAGACATTTCATTGTTCAGTGCTACTGAAGATGGATGGTGACAAAATGTCTACAAGCAAATAACTAGGATCAGACAGCACCAAGGATTCCACAGTTCAACTCTGAGCTATATATATATTTTCTTCTATTGGTGCCTTTTTTAAACATGAAGCATCCAGGTTAGCCATTGTAGGAGGCTTTGAAAACAAGGGAAAACATGCTGGTTATATATAATAATTTTTCAGTTCTTATACCATATTCTTATACCATCTATAACACAAATGCTGTTTATCTGAACTCTGTTGTTTTGGTTTTGATTTTACAGTAGTAGAACAAGCTCATTTAAGTTGCAGAGCCTAACTGCATGTATGCCAATACAGTATTTAAACTTCTACTGTCTTAGAAAATTCAGAGAAGGAATGTAGAAATCCATATGATCATTACATAGCAACAATTTTAATGCCATTCAGTGCTTGTCTAAATGTTTACATCCCAGTCACAGTGTGACTTACTGTTTCATTTAAGCCAGTGGGCATTAAATTGCAGTCTTAATTATTTGGACTTCATCCAGTTGAAAAGAACAAAAAGGGCAGCAAGAGACGGCATTCCAATATTTGAATGCCTTCCTATCTAGCAGTATATTACAACTCAATTCTCTGCAAGAGATTCTGAAAACCCCGTGTATAAAAAGGGAAAACAGGATTTGAAAAATTTATTCTTGTCACGGGTCTTTCTTACTGCTAGATGACTAAATCAGGACATTGGCTATGGTTTACATTTACATCCAACAGAACAAAACAACACCAATGGCATTCAGGGATGCTTTTCTATAAAACCAGTAGCTGATTTTGGAGCATCTATGAAATGTGAAGATTTTGATAGGGTTGTTTGTATGACTGAATGAAACCATGATTGGTCAACATGATGTTTGAATAAACATTGAAAAAAATGCATTTGATGTTTAAACATTTCACTTTACAAATTTCTGATTTGACTTTACAAGTTTGTATAAGTTACAAACTTTTTTTAAACAAATGTTTCTCCAATGTCCTATATTAATATTGCTTTGATTCAGTACTTCCTAAAATGACTTCTCTGATTTGCTGAATACACATTAAATTTCTGACAACTGTTTATCTTCATTAAATTTTAGGGTAAACATTCCTTGCATGTGAAGGAATCAGGACCTTGAGAACATCCAATTCAAGATTTTTTTCAGTCTGTGTTGGTGTGTATACATTTTTTTTGTAAGAAAAACACTAAACCTTTAATCATCAATATTCCTAATTTTAAATGATATGTTGTAATGTGTTATCTAAGTTTAAGAACATGAAGAACCAAAATAATGTATCTGAATTCATCTTGCTGGGGCTTACTCAGGATCAAGAGTTGCAGAAAATCTGCTTTGGTCTGTTTTTGATCTTCTACATGGCAATTCTGCTGGGGAATCTACTGATCATAGTCACAATCAAGAGCAGTCGCCACCTGATTTCTCCAATGTATTTCTTTCTCAGTTACATTTCTTTCATAGATATCTGTTATTCCTCTGTCACTGCTCCCAAACTGATAGCGGACTTCCTTGTGAAGAAGAAAACCATCTCTTTTGTTGGTTGCATAGCACAGCTTTTTGGGGTTCACTTTTTCGGTTGTACTGAAATTTTTCTTCTCACAGTGATGGCTTATGACCGATACATTGCAATCTCCAAGCCTCTCCATTATAGCACTGTTATGAACAAGAGGGTCTGCAGTTGGATGGTGTTTATGTCATGGCTGGGTGGCTTTGTACATTCAATGGTACAGACACTCCTTACTACACAGCTGCCCTTCTGCGGGCCTAATGAAATTGATCACTATTTTTGTGATGTTCACCCTTTATTGAAATTAGCCTGTGCTGATACTTACATTATTGGACTTATTGTCATTGCCAACAGTGGCATGATTTCCCTCAGTTGTTTTCTTGTGCTGACTTTTTCTTACATTGTTATCCTACTCACAATCAGAACTCGTTCTTCTGAAGGCCGCCTCAAGGCTCTTTCCACTTGTGGCTCTCACATCACAGTTGTGATTCTGTTTTTTGGCCCCTGCATCTTCCTTTACATGAGGCCTTCAACCACATTCTCAGAGGACAAAAGTGTGGCTGTTTTCTATACTATTATAACTCCTATGCTCAATCCTTTAATTTACACTTTGAGAAATGAGGAGGTAAAGAATGCCATGAGAAAATTATGGAGCAAAAATGTAATTTTGTCTAGGAAATTAAAAGTGGATTTAAAAATATAACCTTGGTTTAGTCACATGTCACATCAATGGTTCAGAAAAGTGTATTAGTATCAGAACTGAGGCTGTTGGAAAAGATATTTTTCTATCTTTAAGCAAGGTTTAAATAAAAATGCATCTTTTCTTCTTGAAATAATAAGTGAAATGTCTAATTAGTATGCCTTAAGTTTTAATGTAAAGGTAAAGGTTCCCCTTGCACATATGTGCTAGTTGTTCCCGACTCTCGGACACAGTAGGATTTGTGGGAGCAGAAGGTAGGCAGTTCAGTGGTTCGAATCCCTAGTGCTGCATAACAGAGTGAGCTCCCATTACTTGTCCCAGCTTCTGCCAACCTAGCAGTTCGAAAGCACATAAAAATGCAAGTAGAGAAATAGGGATCACTTTGGTGGGAATGTAACAGTGCTCTGTGTGCCTTTGGTGTTTAATCATGCCAGCCACGACCATGGAGATGTCTTTGGATAGCGCTGGCTCTCCGGCTTTCAAATGGAGATAAGCACCGCCCCCTAGAGTCGGGAATGACTAGCATGCATGTGCAGGGGTACCTTTACCTTTAAGTTTTAATGCAATGTATAAAGGATGTTTTTCCCTAAGATTCACGGTTATGGAAAGATTTAATTTCTTGTCCTGGTAAACACTGAAAACCGTAACTGTTACATCTTGAGATTTAATATTTAGTTAAAAATAAATATTGTTGTTACAACTCATGTTGCTATTTACCTGTGGTCAACACAGAGGGAAAAAATGTTTCACTTATTTTTTGTAAAGCTCATATAATGTCATTATCTGTGTTTCTGGAAGGTTAATTTATTTTTCCCCTGCTGTGATAGTTCTATTCTGGTAATTCAAAGAGCACTTTTGTGTGTTAACTACTTGAGAGGTACCAGGAAGTTGTATAAGTCTTAACTCTATTTAGTCACATTTGAATGCAATTACTGTTTAGAATCATTTGCATCTGATGAAATCCATGCAGAAAATTAATTTTAAAAACACACAGCTTACCTGCCTAGCAGGAGATAGTCAAAGATTATATCTGAATCCTGTTGGCAATATATCTGTGTTCTCAAGCTTCAAAAGAAACACTAAAAAGGGCCACATTATCCTTTCTAGTTTCCTGATGTTTTTGCTTTGCAAAAAATAAAGGAGAATAGGTGTCTATGTTTGGATAAGTTGGAGAATTCCAAAGACTTTTTTTAAAAAAAAGATGGCTTCATTGTATGACTTTAGAGATGAGAGGGAGTGTGTACATCATAAGATACCAAGATGCAGATGCATAATTGTGGTGTTTAGTGATGACATCATCGGTTGCATGCTGTTATATTGGTGTCATTGGGATTTATTATGCATGTTGTTGCTTATCATCCATACTGAAAAAATTGAATTAAAATTAACGTACAGAAGACCAGACTAATAATAACAGGTAGAACAACCACCCTTAGAACTGACAATAAAGACGTCCAAATGGTGATAACTTCTGCCTTTTATGATATACCATCAATAGTAAAGGAACAAGCAGTCAAGGAATATATTGCAGACTAGCACTCAGTAGAACAACCATGAAGGCCTTGGAGAGTGTATTCAGATAAAGTGATGGGTCTACACCTATAAAAATCAGGATTGTGCAAGCCATGATATTCTCTATGATCTTCTATGGAAGCAAGACAAAAATTATTTATACCTGCCTAGTCTTTATCATTTTTATAAATAATTCAGGTGACAAACATAGCTAATACTTGGTCCTCCTCAGTGGTGGGTTCCTCCTGGTTCCACCCAGTTCTGCCGAGCCAGTAGAGGTAACAATATGACATCACCAAACCGGTTCTGCCCCCCCGCGTTATTCTTACCTTTTATTTGGTCCCACCCCCAATCTATTGCTGCCTCCTGAATCCCAGCTGATGGGCTATAAGGAAAAACTGTTTAAACTCTTGCCGTGGGGCTTCAAAGGGCCGCCCTACAGCTGATCAGTGGTAAAGGAAGTTTGGTGGTAGACCGGTACCTCCAAAAACAAATGAGTAGACCGGTGCCTGCAAAAATAAATGGGTAGACCAGTGCCTGCAAAAATACATGAGTAGATCAGTGCCTGCAAAAAATAAATGGGTAGATTGGTATAGCTCTGCTAGCAGTTAAAAGCCTGGTAGACCAGTACCTCTGCTAAATCCTAAAGAATTGTCACATGACCATCAAGCCACACTCACAAAATAAGCCACGCCCACAGAACCGGTAGTAAAAAAATTTAGAACCCACCCCTGGTCCTCCTCCTCCTATTGTGATTTCCTGTGCACGTGGAGAATCAGTGGATAAGAGTTTTGGCAACACAGAACTTTTTGGCAGAGAGAAGCCCAGCTCAAGAAACTGTGCAGTCCTGAGCTGGATGGAGGAAAGGGAAAGAAGTTCACAGTAGCCACATCATAGAATCTCCCAGGATATATCTAGTAAATCAGAAGGTTATAATGTAGTTCAGTCCATTATGTATATGAAAATAAAGGATTGGACTGGTAGGTAGGGTACATAGCAGCTGCAAGACACAGATAAGTTCCCTCCCAGAGCCACAGAACTGCTCCCACTCTCATTTCCACTTCAAGGATGTGGAATGGATGTCAAGTAATAAGTGCCAGTCTGAGAATAGGCTTTCCATGGCTGTTGTTGCCACTATAATTCACTAAAAGCTGTGTGACTTGTGCAGACCCCAAAACCAAGGAAGGCTGGCATAACAGCCAGAATAGAAAATGCAGCCATACTGACTATCAGAAAGATCTGTCTTCTAGCTTCATGTTCCTCCAACCAGAAGTACTGTGCCAATAACTACCTTATTAGCCAACTTCTGATCAATGGTGCACTCCATCTGCCACACTGCCATTGGAATGCTAGGAAGCCTCCATCAGTTGCCCGACTGGGAAGGCATTAAAAGAAATAATTAGTGCCATGAGATATAAGGAAGTTAAAAAAATGGTGTGCCAGTTTTGGGCCATAACTGGTAGTCAAAAACAGATGGATTAAAACCTCTTGCAGAAGGAGGTTCAATTAGATGGAGAGAAGGAAGAGAGAAGGCAATTGCGTTTAGACAGTTTTGGGCCAACGAAGGATGTTTGAATTATGGACCAACAGATAAGACAGGGATTGTGCCAAGGACTAAAGAGGCAAAAATAAAACCCAGAAGTGTTAGGAAAGGTGTAAAAGACCATGGAGGTACAAGATGGACAGGAGATATCTGGAGGTATTGAGGAGAGGGGAGGAGAAAAAGAGCAGAACCTGTGGTACAACATAGTTGTTCCCTTCGGCACTTTTCAAGAGAGGAAGAGTATCAATCTATGGAAATAAATACTTGGAAGAGGTATTGAAAGGAATGACTATTATACTAGTTCCATAATTACAGTATTATTCTGTAAAATGACTGGTGTGTTACTTTAAACAGAAGCAACCATTTATATAGAACAAAGTAAAGGAGCGTGCATTCAATCAATTCTGCTCCCTAGACTTACAGAGACATAAAAATAATAATTAGTATTGGTGGCTTATTTTTGTTTTCTTCAAAGATTAACAATATTTGGATTTTTAAACACGCAGCTAAGGCTACAGTACTTTATAAGTTGCCTTAGCATTATGTAAGACAAATCATTTATTTGAAACACCCCCATGAAATAATATTCCATGTCATATTTATTGTAGACTTCATTAAATTATCACAAGTTTAATATAAAATGTTACTGTGGCCAGGGGGGCTTTTTATCAGGTTCACCTGATTTCCCAGTTGCACCCCTTTCTGGATCGGGACGCCTTGCGCACTGTCACTCATGCCCTCGTCACTTCCCGTCTGGACTATTGTAACGCTCTCTACATGGGGCTCCCCTTGAGGAGCATCCGGAGGCTCCAACTGGTCCAGAATGTGGCCACGCGAGTACTAATGGGGGCGACCCGTCGCTCCCATGTAACGCCCCTCTTGCACGAGCTGCACTGG